CAACATTTTCACATATTAAACTCACTGGTTCTAATGCTCGAAACAAAGCGAGAGGCAAATGACTATTTAGGAGGGAGATATTTAAATTTGCATGGTTTTCTCCTCTTACATGGAAATATTTATAGATTTATTTCTTGGCTTCAAGGAAATTGTGTCATTTAGGGAAAAAAAATGACAGATGGCAGTCTTTTATTGGCTATCTTATAACTAATTCTATTTTAGATTCATATTTTATTCATTTAGCTTACGTGTCTTGCGTTTACTGGCTCTGAAGTTATGCTTTAAATACTTGCCTACATATGCTTTAGTAACAAATTTTAGCTAGCTTGGATATGGAATGACTCGCCTATACTCTGAGTTAATCTTCTATGTTTTTTGTTTCCCTCGTATATCACTTCTAGTTCACAGGTAGGGAATGTGCTCACATAATTGATTCCTTGATTAAAAAAAAAAAAAAGGTTTCTGAAATCCAATTTTATTATTCATATTAAATCCAAGACTTGTTGCATTCTTTTTAGGGAAAATTGCAACAGAAGCTCCAAACCTTTGAAACATTAGCAGACTTTCCCCAAACCTTTCATTTGTTGCAACCGTCACCCTAACCTTTCCAAACGTTGCATCTGAGGCCCTTTTGGATGGTTTCCATAAAAAAATCCGTTAGTTGACCATCAAACTAAACTTTGACCACCTTTTAATCAATTCTAGAAGGGCGAAATGGTAAATTTCTATTTATCACATTAAACAATTAAAAAACTAAAATCAAAAATCAAAAACCATAAAAAAAGAAAAAGAAAAAGAAATGGATCTTCTTTTTCTCCCGCACCCACCAAACCAACCCCACCCCACCCCTCAGTCTAACATACTGGAATATATGGGCATGGAGAGGGTACTAGCTGTGCAACGAAGAAGACTAAGAATTCAAGCAATGAGTCTCAACTTGTTCCATGAAATCAGCTTCCACAATAATCCCCAATTTATCACATCAATTGGTTGCAATTCTTCTTCGATTTTTGGCTCATTTTTCGATGAACTTACGTTGAAAGCTGGGCTGAAGCATAAGCACTGGTGATAATTCTTGGTTTTCTCGAAATTTGTACATTTGGCAGAGAAAACGAAGTGGGCAATACAGAAAATGCCTAATTTTTGAGATTATGGTTTAATTTTAGTCTGATCTATGGTGTTCTGTGGGTGTGAAAGTGTTTTGGGAGTTTAAGTTCACAAGGAAGAGTAAAAGGCATAGTTGTAGCAATTGCCATTTCTTCTGGTAGGTGCACTCAATTTGGTTTCAGATTGTGGGGTGGGGTACGGTGGGGGAGAAGAACAAGACCTTTTTTTTTTTGGTTTTTTATTTTAGTTTTTTAATTGTTTAATGTGATAAATAGAAAATTACCATTTTACCCTTCTAGAATTGATTAAAAGGTGGTCAAAGTTTAGTTTGATGGTCAACTAACGGATTTTTTGACGAAAACCATCCAAAAGGGCCTTAGATGCAACGTTTGAAAGATTAGGAGTGACGGTTGCAACAAATGAAAGGTTTGGGGAAAATCTGCTAATGTTTCAAAGGTTTGGAGCTTTTGCTGCAATTTTCCCTTCTTTTTAATTGCGAACCTATAGATAACATTATTGGCTCATATTTCTCTTTGTTTATTGTGGCTGACATGGGTTCTCTCAAGGGGACTTCTTGCGTTCTTTTAAATTGTGAACCTATAGATAACATTATTGGCATGCATGCATTTAATGTGCATGTTAGTTACGTGCAATTGTGTTCGTTCCTTTTGAATTCTTAATCAGGCGCCCCTTAATAGTCATTGGTCACGGTTACCTGTATAATTTGAATTAATACAATTTGTTTGAGTTCATAGCCTGATGGCTCACGCTCTCTATTAGAACCTATAAATATATTATTCATCTTTCTAGTTTCCTTTCTTACTTCTACTTTGTTGTTTTTAGCTTATTGTGCTATCTATCCTCTCTTTTATGATTCTATCTTTCGTCTTCTTGTATCTTTCCTAAAACTTTTATTAGGTACGCATTCTACTTTCAACTTGCTTTTTTAATCATTTTTTGTTATAATGCCTTCCCAGAGCGACTCCCAAAATATGTCACATGATTATGAGGTAGAAAGCTCTGGACTTAAGAATATCTCTCCTAAAGCGCCTTCTTCTTTTGAGGAATTTCAGCATACTGAGGCGTTGCTTTATTTTGTAACTCATCAACCGAGTTCTAGGTCTAACCCAAAGCTTCTTAATCGAAGGGCAGGTTCTCAACTTAGTGTTGGAATGTAGAAGCGGAATTATACAGAAATTAAAAACACTTAATTCAAAAACATGATCGTCTAGATGTTCACATATATATTATCAAAAATAAAGAATTTGAATTTTTACCTAAATTTAATGATCAATTCTTGAATAAATTATGAATCACAAACTTTCAGCTTTTTGGATCACAAACTTTCAGCCTTTTAATTTCAAGAACTTAATGCTTCAAACCTCCAAGTATTCTATGGTATTCTCCACAGTCAAGACTACACCAGTGAATGGGCACCTTCTTTTAATTAAATTAAGAAGCTAATTCGTGAATTGGACATTTGAAAAATCAAGAAAAATAATTTTTTTTCTCAAAAATTTGAACACCATGAAATTATGTATTATGAATGTTGTATAATTCCATTCCATAGTATGTTTAGGATCCAATCCTTATATAATAGTAATTCCACATTCATAGGAGTTCTAATTAAAATCCAAGTAGGAGTTTTAATTAAAGTCCAAATCCAATTTGTTTACATTTAATTACATGTGTAGTCCTAAAACTTCAATTACAATTATAATTAAGCCCCTGTTTGAGCCCCATTACATTAAATTCTATTACATTTCATTTTTCTCTATCCTATTTTCAACCACACAATCTTCCATAAAATAATATTACACGTAAATCAAAAACTTTTCATTCTTTTTCAACCACTCATTTTTCAAAAAAACTCTATTCCCCCCATTAATTTTTCCATGTAATGGGGATCAAACAGGGGCTAAGTTTACAACTTTCATAGTAATTACAACTAAATATAAAACTTTATTGTAATTACAGTTAAGCCCAAAAGTATTATAATTACTGTAATTAAGTTCCAATACTTTATCGAGCTACCATAGGGACCTGATCGGACATATATCTCCAAGCTCCAATAACTAGATCCTGTGTAGTCGACCCTAGACCACCCATATTCATTTGTCTTTACTTTTTCCACTAAAGGTAAAAAGTTGAACTCTCGAAATATATATGATCACAGAAGCCAATAAATCTGTAATACTTTCCTCTGACATGCTATATATGTATTTTATCCCCGTCCGAGATATGATAATTTGGTACGAGCATAAATAACTGTTTTGCCCCTATAATTATTCTCACTAACTTAAACTTCATTTTCTTCAATGGTCTTGTTAATTAATCACAAATTTCGAAGTTTAGCCATCGTTAAACACTAAGATCAGATTTTAACCGCTTAACAGAAAATACTTAAGTAACCACTCTACCCATTTTCAGGGTGACAGTTCTCGACACAAATTCATGTTGTCTACTCAATCAAAAAACTATTAAAATCACAAAAAGATATACATAATCTTGTCAAGAGATTTAGATAAAATACACAGCGGTCTAGTGGAATTTAATTTTCCGCACGATCATGCTATATAATTAAATTAGAGATGTAGTCCATTCAATACTCTCCGAGTATACTAGTGTTACCTTTAACTATTTCTACGATAAGGACAAATCATAAGCCTGAATAGTGAATCGGTCAACACTACAACCTTTCAGTACAAGGTGTCGACCCTTATACATTAGTTATGAAAAAATTATTTATGTTCAAAATATAAGTTGTGTCACACTGTACTTCTCAACACAAGTACCCAACTTATATTATCTCAAGTGATCAAAAGCACTTTAATTTGTATGCTCAATAATAAATAATGTAATAAATAAATGAAACCACGATTTATTTATTGTAAATGATTATTTTATCATAGCAAAATATACTATATGGGCACACAACCCAACACTTAGGACTGATGAAGTTCTAGAGCCTTTGAGTGATTCAGATGGATTTAATGTCGTCAACAAAAATGTTTTTGAAGCCTCTGAGATGTTTACCAATATTACTGAGAAAGATTTGGATGAAACTAGGACCGTTTTAATATCCCCGACATAGAATTGCTATTTCTTGGGCAATTTCAAAGTGCAAATTGCGCTCCTCATGATTGTATAGCTTTTCATAAGCATTCGATGGATATGTGTCCCCTTTTATTATATCTTTCGTGGTATTCTTTCTCTAATATTTTTCCTACTCAGCTTATCCTAATTAGACAGACCCATATTTTGGGTCATTTTTGTTATAAAAATACTACAAAATTTTTATGTTTTCCCTACAACTTTTTTTTGTAGGGAAAGGTTCGTATTTGTGGGAAAAAATATTTGCAGACGAAATAAATTTGTAGGCACATTTGTGGGGCAAACGTCGAGAGGTTAGGTAAAAGGCGATTTTTTTTTAAAAATTTGTGGGCTAAGGTTTTTCCCTACGAACCCTTTGGAGACAAATATGATTCATCGCGTAAAGTTTTTCCCGACAAAATTATTCGTCTACTAAAGATACATTTGCTCATGAAAAGGTTTCGCTTTTTCCCACAAATTAAGTTGTGGGCTAAATCATGTTTTCCCCTATAAATATTTTTTTTTTGTGTGGCACGAATATTTGTAGGCTAAGATACATTTTTCCCAACAATTAAGAGTTTGTGACGACAGGATAACAGATAATTTTGCGAGCTAAACCCTTTTTTCTCTATAAACAATTTTTTTTGTAGGGAAAGCTTATGTGTAGGCTATTACGAAACAATTCATAGGGAAAAATTAAATTATATTTTTTATATTTTATTTGTTATTTATATTACAGTAATTTTTCAGCGCATTCAAATTAATATAAAGATACAAAACGACAATAAATTAATTAAGAGTTGTAGTGTCAATCAATATAACATTGAATCCAAAATATTTTATCAAAACAAAAATAAAATTCATTCACCAAGTATGATTAAATCTAAACTTAAAAAGAGTAATGAGTATAGCAAACATTCTCTATATCTATTATTATGCACCTAACAAAATAACTCTTCATCCTCATGAATTAGATATACAACTAATCATCACCAAAGTTATTCTCTTCGTCCTCAATAGCATCATCGTCCTCATCAGCATTATTCTCTATTGATAAAGGTGTAAATGGGGGCACAACAAAGACAGGAACTTTACCACATAGCTGGTGCATAGAATGATGCCAAGATTACACTGTAGAATTGAATTGTTTCTCATCAACCTTCATCTTATTTTGCATCCTTCGCTCCATCTTCACTAGAGTTGCATCAGCTACCTTTCAAGCAGCGCGTTCTGTTTCTAACTCTTTCTCCAGATTGTTTACATTAGAAGAAGATGTACGAATGTCTCTAATGCGACCATCTCCCAACCCACGAATTTGATGTCCAGGCTTCGTACCTAGAACAAACATCATGATATTAATTCCAGCATCAGGATCATCTACTGGTATCTCCTCCAAAGGGATATCTTTGGGAAGTTGGTGCTCCTTTGCCTTTTGTACAAGATATTCATACTCTTTGACAAGCATCTCATCCTACAAACACAATTCACAAGATATATAAAGCAACTCATAAAATGAAATTTTGCAAGAGATATAACACAAATGCACACAAGAGATATAGCACAACCCAAGAGATATAATCGATTCTCTAAAACATTTTGCCCATGCCAGTGTCAACTTCCAAAATAGTCACAACAAAATCATACAAAAATTGTCATACTACTTAACATAATGTTAATTTTTCTAGCCTCTATTGATCTAACTTTGCAATATATTCTTTTTGTCTAACTTGATATAAAACATGATAAAGAAAACAAAGTTATAATGCTGAGTCTTTCTCACGTGTTGAGCTTTAGCTACATTATAAGTCCAACGCTTGTTCTTTCCTGTATAAGCGAACTCAAATGTGTCGACTTTGAGAAACTTCGAACCATCCTAATAATAAAAAATCCATGTTCCAAATATTATATTCAAATTCTTAACAATTATAATCAATTAAGTACATGTTGATAACATATAAGTTCACTTCCTCAGCCATCTCCTCCACTATGTACGAGAAAGGGCGTGAACCAGTACGATGATTATACTTCTTCTTTGATCGGTTCACTATATTTGTTGATGATGCCTTCTGCAAAGAACAGAATATACACACTCACACATGACATAAAAAAATAGGAGTAAAAGTTGTGAACTAGTAAGGAGTTACACAATAAATACCTTGAACTTATCAGAGTTGAAATGATTACACAATTCTACCCATTGATCTATACCTCTATCAAGCATCTCTAAAGGGGGATTGGCTAAAGCATTCTCATGTGTCTTGCGCAACTTATAGTATGCACTCAACTCAGCCTAGAACTCCCTATACCTTCCATTATATAGTCTATTAATATAATTTTCCAATCTTAAGCCTTTCAAATCTATCTCGAAGTTCATCTGAAATTGACATAATTAAAAATATTATTAAAATAAAAAGAAACCATAATTATAAGAAACTACCCAATTCTAGAAAATAAGTCATAAAGTAAAACTAAAGGAATTCACAAAATGAAATGACTAATGTGCTTTTAATTTATTCATGTAGTTTTCTTTGACTATTAATTTTCCAACATAAACACATGCACACATATGCTTACTGTGATCTCATCTATAAGGTCCTTTTTCTCACTTTAAGAAATGGTCCTCTAATAACCATTATTCATTGAGCAATGTGATCGAATGATGGCTCCGATATCATGAACTAACAAACTATGCACTCCAGAATTTGTTGCTCGTCTGCTTACTGAATTGTATAAAACTTGAATTTTCTCTCGAGTCGTACGAACGATACGAGAGGTCTTAATTTTTTTACATGCCCCTCGAGTAGGAAGATCATCGAGAGTCCTTGGCAAGTGTCTTGCACCTACACCTACACTTGCAAAATCAATAATAAAAGCCGAACATGTAAATGAACTTCATGCAGTAAGAAAATTAACTATTACCAAATGAACACCCTACCTTCGGAACTCTCTACTTCATCATCCAATGCCTCATCATTTTCTTCAGCTCTACGAACATTTTCACCTTTTGCTATGCCTATCACATGAGTTTCCCATTTTTTTTTTGAATATTTGCTCTTTAGACAATATTTGTGACACATTTAATTCAAAAAGAGATAATAACCTATATAATGAATTCATATTTTCATGCATGAGTGGTTCTTTTTAATTGTGATAAGTCCACAACAATGGTTTTGACTCATAACATGTGCTTTACAAATGAAGACATTTCTAGCAAAAGCTTCTACTTCACTGCGACAAAACAATTTCCAAAACATAAGACAACTAAAAGGAATTTCCAAAACATCATACAACTCAAATGAATTCAGTTCTATCTATGCATAAGTGTCAGGAAGATGTACACTAAAAAACATAAGATTCCTCAAGATCCCACATCTCACTAAACCTTTTTCTCAACAATTCTTAAATGAATAACACATGTATCAGTAGACTATGATAAAGAGAAACTTGACAACTTGAGCAACAACTATCATGCTTATTTTAAGTCAGAATCAAAAACTCACTAAAAAATTGCATAGTACCTGTGCCTTGTTTACAACCTACGTGACGATGAACAACACTCATAGGACGAGAAGGTGGTTGGTCAAGATTGAGGCTAGAGGGACCGTATTTTGTACCTGGATTAGGAAGGGTCCTTGTCGGTGTCTCAAGATGTGTAGGAGTACGATCAGCATCAATCAAATGAGTAGAGAAAGTGGGAATATTTTCAGTGGTTGACCAAGTTCCACTTTTGTGATGCACAGGTAGAGAAGAGTTGGGGGATTGAGATGTCTGAGACAAAGGAGGTACTGACCTATTGGCTTGCAATGATTGTCACAAAGAAAGAGAAGGCACAAACCTAGTAGTGGATGAGCCATCAGATCGTGATGTCTGAAGTAGTAGAGGCACATCTGTGCTCGTCACTTGAGACATCTTAGGTGCTGGAGATACATGAGAGTTCTTAGAATGTTTCTTATGAGAAATTAGATTCATCTGCACAAAAACCAAGTAATAGTTAGAATATAAACATTAGACTATTCCAAACAACGTCTATAATAAAAGGGCAACATGTCAAAGCTTTAATTAGATAGATAAAGCTTGGTAGATGTAATAAATCCTTTTGGTCAACTAATTCAAACATATCATTTTATGCACTTTTGACCATGTCTGCTGATGCATAACAAATAAAATACAGAGACCAAAATATAATTTTAAATATATATTTTCAATACATATGGGGTAGGCATAATGAACTTACTATTCTAAATCACTGTCCTCCAAACCATGTTCATTGATTTTCTCAACCAAGTTGCCATCTTCTCTTCCAAGAGGCCGTCGATCAATGGTTTTTGGATCAATCAACACTAGAGGAACGTCATCTATATGAAATAGTGTTTGAATAACATCATAATTTCGAGCTTCAACCATGTTTCGTACATCTAAAGAAGAAGTCTCTTGATACGCCACATCATTATTGTCATCATTATTATTATACATCTCCTTCCATGGTATATCATATATGTTCCTGTGATCCAACTTCTGAACTACTTTCCAATCACCACCTGCTTTGGGGTCATTTACGTAAAATACCTGTTTCGCCATTGTTGCAAGAATGTAAGGATCATTATCATACCACTGAGTACTAAAATTTACAGATATTAAGTGGTATTCACGTTTAACAAATCCCATCCTACGAGGGTTTGTATTAAACCAGTGACACTTGAATAGAACAACCTTGTAGCGTTGTCTATATAATATCTCAACCACACTTATCAACTTTCCATAGAAGTCTACATTATCGATATCATGATTGCCAGGCACGAAGACACCACTATTTTGCATGGTTAGCTTATCATCTCGTTCTGTAGATATAAACTTTACTCCGTTCACAATGCAACCTTGGTATGTTTCAGCTCGAATGGGGCCTCTTGCTAACTCAAATAGCTCATCATCATACAAGGTTGATTTCGCCTCCCCTAGACTTCTCACCTAATTTTAGAGTAAATAATAGCGAAAATGTAATTATTAAAATTAGTAAAATCATGAAAAATGGTGAAAGTTAATCCAACTATAAAATCACTTATGCGTTCTCGAAACCAATTACGAAACTATTTTCATTGCTATTTCTTTTTATCATTTCCTCATGCTCCCTACACAGCAAGTGAACATATATACTGCATGTATGCATAATATAATTAATCAAACTAAATGCAGAGGTGTTGTACTTACATTAGAGAAGGAAGAACCTCATCACAGTTGTTCAATATGAACCACTGAGCAACCTCCATGTCATCATTCGTGGATGGAATACTTGAACTTCTCATAAATGGTCATGCTACTTGGGAGAAAATAGAAAGTCTCTCTTATCTGGAGCCACCATGAAAGTTTCGTTCATTTCGATTAAAAGGTGTCTCAACATTTTGAAGGTACATGGCACAAAAAGTGAGAGACTCATGTGCAACATATGCCTCTGCAATGGATCCCTCAGGTCGAGCCCGATTTCGTACATATTTTTTGTATGTGCCCAACATTCTACAAATGGATAAACATTGTGATATACATTGATTTAGAAATGTACAATTTAAACCATTTTTAATAAACATGTACCTTTCTATTGGGTACATCCGCTGATAACTCACAGGACCTGTAAGTCTTGCCTCTTCAGGTAAATGTACTAGCAGATGAATCATGGAAACAAAGAAAGCTGGAGGAAAAATTTGTTCAAACTTGCACAATATATACACAATATCATCCTCCAACCTCTTAATGTCCTCCATACATAACGTTTTCGCACATAATTGTTGAAAGAAATTGGATAACTGAACAATTGGCTCAACCACTTCATTTGGTGAATATTTTCGAATACCAACGGAAGTAGTCGTTGGAATAATACAGGATAATCATGGCTCCTCAATTCAGAAATTTTTCCAGATTCGACTACCACATTTCTTGAAATATTGGCAGCATAGCCATTTGGATATTTTACTGATTTTAAAAACTGAAGGAATTCTTTCTTTAAATTTGGCTTCATTGTGAAAAATGGATGTCTTTTAACCCACTTCTCTCCATTCTAATCCAAGCACAAAGATTTTTTTATTACAAGTGATTCTAAATCCTGGCGAGCTTTGACTGTATCTTTGGATTTTCCCTCTATACCTAATATTGTCCCAACAAAAGTGTCACAAACGTTCTTCTCAATATGCATTACATCTAGGTTATGCCTAATTTTTAACTTCGACCAATCCTCTAGCTCAAAGAAAATACTCTTCTTAGTCCAGTTTCATACTTCAAATGTCCTCTTTCTTTTTTTGTCTAGGTTATTAGGATATTTACTAATCTGGCCAAAGTATATGTTCTGTACCTGAGATAAAATTTCATTACCCAATAATTGTCTAGGTCTTGCACGAAATTTGGTTTTCCCATCAAAGGAATCCCTTCTTTTGCGCCACAAATGATCTCATGGTAGCCATCGTCGATACCTCATATAGAAAACGTTGTCACTAAACCATTCAGATGTTCCATCATCATTACAAATAGGGCATGCATTATAACCCTTCATACTCCAACCTGATAAATTTCCATAAATAGGTAAATCATTAATAGTCCACAACACAGCAGCACGTAAGTTAAACGTGGAATCAGTGCTTTTATCATATGTATGCACACCAATTCCCATAATTCTTTTAGTTCATCGATTAGCGGGCGCAAATAAACATCAATGCCCTTGCCAGGTTCGTGTTTGCCAGGAATTAATAACGTTAGCATGGCGAATTCTTTTTTCATGCACATCCATGGAGGCAACTTATAAGGAACAACCACCACAGGCCACATGCTATAAGGTTTGTTCATATCCCCAAGTGGATTAAAACCATCCGTTGCAAAGCCCAACCTTATGTTTCGTGACTTTACTGTAAAATTGGGATACATCTTATCAAATTCCTTCCATGTAATTGTGTCTGCTGGATGCCTCATGTCGCCATCGTCAACTCGTCCATCCTTGTGCGATTTCATATCATTGGCAGTATACATTGACATGCATAATCGCTGTAATCTTGGCTTTATTGGAAAATAGCGCAATACTTTTTGAAGAATCTTTTTCTTATCTTCAGAACTGTTCTGATATCTTGGCTTATTACAAATGGGGCACTTATCTAACCATTCATTTTCCTTGTAAAATAGTGCACAATCATATTTACATGCATGGATTTTTTCATAGCCTAGTCCGAGATCTTTTAAAATTTTATGGGCATGTCGATGAGTAGGAGGTAATTGATTTTCGTTCAGAAGCATCCTTTTCAAGATGCTCATAAGCTCATCAAATTCCTCACTTTTAGTTGCATCAACTCTACAATAAATGTCAGCACAGAGAAATCTTTACAATTAGGGTAAAGTTCTTTTTACTTATCTATCTCTTGCCTACGCATATTTGACGTCTGATTATTTCCCAACGTATCATCCTCAAGTAATATGTCATCTTCCTCTAAAACATCTTGCTCATGATGGTGCAAGGCATGTGGATACATATCATTGATTATTTTCATTACTTGATCATTATCACAATCAATGTCATTAGTCGGTCTTGGGCTGCAAAACAAGTTATTCATAGAGGAACCTAACGCAGTCCCCAATCATTCTCCATGACGATTCCATGTAGTGTAATTGTATAACATACCATGCATGATCAAGTGTTGTCGAATTTCACTTACTAGTCTCCAAGAGCAATTATTACACTTTTGGCAAGGGCACTCAGAATGACCTGTATAATTGACATGGTTGCTTGCAACTCTAATAAATTCATCAATACCTGACAAATATTCAATGCTAGTTCTATTGGGATTATGTATCCAATATTTATCCATAGTTCAGCTGCTGTATATAACTCTACAATGGATATGATACACAAAAATATGTCAACATAACAAATATTAAACGTAAAAGTTTAACTATGAAATTTATAGATCTGTTCCATTAACTAGACTAAGAGCTGCATGCAACACACTTATTTGCCCACACAAGTTTCTAGTCCCCTCCATTTATGATACAAATTGACACCATTACTATAAATAGCCAGTTATATACTCTCATACATAAACATATAGATACATCAAATTGTCGACCAAAGTAAATCGCTTGTTTATATGTGTGTGTGTGTGTGTGTATGTATTATATCCATTGCATCTACTCCTCGTGATGCAGATTCACCCCATCCCTTTCCCCATTCTCACTCTCCTCTAACTACTCATACAGACAAGAAAGAGCTCGAGCCAACTTTATGCATTTATCGCGAGAAAGAAACAAGATGTTGAGGTACTGCCCCAAAGGTAAGATGGCTAAAAGAAAGGGAAAAAAAAGGTCTTGTTCCTTTTAAATTTGAGTTTTGCTATGTGATTTTTTTCTTGTCTATCTGGTCATTTCATATCTAATATTAGAAGATTTGATGAAAATATATCCTTGTTAACTATGGAAACATGTCATCTTAATATTGATCTACCTCTTCCTCTTCGTAACTTGTTCTGATGGTGCATAAATTTCTTTTAAGCTAAACAAAAATATGGTCCAATTACCTTATGAGTCGTCGTCTTTCACTTTATTTATTATCAATTCCATTTATTGACATCTCAGTTCTTATGTTATATATTCTCATCTTAATATCCTCGATTCAAGTGGTTGTAGGGCCTCTGTGATGAAATGTACAAACCAGTGATATATTCTTGGTTCTGCTTATCTTTAGATGAAAAAAACTGATCATTTGACAAGCAAATCATCTTAAATTTACTAGTTAATTTTTCATGCTTTTCTCAAAAGAGAGAAGAAAGATTCTTTATCTACTAGGATCTATGCATAAATCACGCTTTTAATTTCATATTAACAATAATAATAACAACTTGTTAGAATATTGATTCTCTGAAACATCCAATAGCTTTTAGTGAATTACTTTAAGAAAGAATGTTGTATCATACCATCTCACGTTTGAACAATTAAAGATATAGGTAAATTTTTAGATCCAAATAATTGAGAATCCATGACAGGATTCATCTGTTCCATATAGAAATTTTCTTATACATAAATTGTGGTAGGTTTTGGAATGACAAAATTACTTTTGTTTTTGCTTGGACCTACTTAAGTTGTTTGGTACTTCCCATAAGGAGACTTCTTGGATATGTAATAGTCACATTTATTCTAATGCAATCTACTGAGTCCTCTAGTATGTATAAATTGGAATGTAATCTGCAGTAACTTTTAAGGCAATAAGATTGAGTATTTCTAGTAATATAATTCCCATTTTTTCTTGCCTTCAAACTGGTATCAGAGCATTCGACCATTACAAAAATTATTCTCAGAATAAAATAGTAGTAAAATATCTTGGAAAAGAAAATCATGGCAAATCCAAGTAATCTAGTGTCTCTTATACCTCGTTTCAATGGGGAAGATTATGACTATTGGAATCACAATATGAAAGTGTTGCTAAAATCTATGAAGCTCAGGAATATTTTTTATGAAGGTTTTGAAGATCCGGAGACTGAAGATGGAATGACTCAAGCACAAAGAAATGCTTTGAATGAAAAGCGAGAAAAAGATAGTAAAGCCCTTTTCCACATTTACTAGGCAATTGAAAGACTGGTGTTTGAACGAATTACAAAAGCTGAAACTTCAAAGCAAGCTTGGGAAATTTTGCAGACAGTACACCTTGGAGAAGAGAGAGTAAAAAAGGTATGCTTACAGTCCTTGAGATTAGAGTTCGAGAAATTGGAAATGAAAGAAGAAGAAAGTATTTCTGATTACTTCACACGGGTTACTACAATTATAAATCAAATGGCATTCAATGGCGAACATTTAGAAGATCAAAAAGTTGTTGAAAAAGTTCTTCAAAGTCTACCATCAAGGTTTGATTTCATTGTTGCCACAATTGAGGAATTTAAAGACTTGGAAACACTTTCATTAGATGATTTACTTGCATCGTTAAAATCTCATGAACTGCGAGTAAAGCACAGGAATCCTTCACTCCCTGATCAAGCACTCAAATCTCAAATTTCAGGAGGCTCTCATTCTAATACCTTTAGGGAAGAGGACGATCTGGAGGTCGAAGGAGAGGACACCATTCTTTTGGAAGAGGAAGATGATTTCAAAGTGGTGGAGAGTTCAAAGAAGAAGTAAAGGATGATCACACAAGCAATTTTCGAAGAGGTCGAGGTCGAGGATATCATCAAAGAGGTAGAAAAGAATTCCCTGAATGCTATTACTATCATAAAACTAATCATAAAAGTAGTGATTGCTGGTATAAGGGAAAGGAATATGTTGAATGCTATCATTTCCACAAACTTGGCCATAAAAGCAATGAGTGCCGGAACTAGAAAAATAAGGATAAAGCAAAAACTAGTTTCATTCATAAAAATGACTATCATAAGAAGTACACTTCTAAAACTTTGTTATTAACATGTGAAAAAATGCAAAATGATGATGTTTGGTATCTGGATAACAGTGCTAGTAAGCATATGACTGGAAACAAAAGCTTGTTTTCTAAGATGGTGGAATCAGAATTAGGGCAAGTCAAAGTTGGTGATGCTAGAGCTTTTGCAATTAAAGGGATTGGATATATAATGATTGAAACTAAGATAGGAAAGCTTGAAAAGATGTCTGATGTTTATTATGTTCCTGGTTTGCGAAGCAATCTATTAAGTGCAGGCCACCTTTTAAGAAAGGGTTTTGAGATCAATTTACATGATAAATTGTGCATTTTGACCAGAGAAAATCAGATTGTCGCAAAGATCCCATTGGCATCAAATAATCTGTTTCCTATTCAGCTAAAAGTTACTAATGTTGCTTTTCATTTCACTAGCACAAATGGAGAAATTTCGAAACTATGGCATGATAGGTATGGGGATTTAAATTATGGAGCCTTGAAATTGTTATCAGAAAGGAAAATGGTGGATGGTCTTCCTTAGATTGAACAACTGAAAGAAGTTTGTGAGGCCTGCCAACTTGGAAAGCAACATAGAAGTTCATTTCCACACAAGTCATCTTGGAGAGCAAGACAACGTCTACAACTTATCCATTCAGACTTGTGTGGACCAATTCCAGTTTTATCTCTATCTCTTTCATTGATGGCTTTAGCAGAAAAGTTTGGACATATTTTCTTGAAGAAAAATTTGATTGCTTTCATGCTTTCAAAGATTTTAAAGCTGAAGTTGAGAACTTTTCTGGATTTTCTATTAAGACATTAAAAACTGATCGTGGGACTGAGTATCTTTCAAGGGACTTTGAAAAATTGTGCAGAAATCTTGGAATAAGACATGAACTGACTGTACGGTATTCGCCATAGCAGAATGGAGTTTGTGAAAGAAAAAACCGAACCATTATGGAAATGGGAAGATGCGTGCTTAAAAGAAAGCAACTACCACGAGAACTTTGAGCAGAGGCAGTTGCTTGTGCAGTATATTTGATCAACAGGTCACCCTCAAAAAGTTTGAATAACATGACTCCACATGAAGCCTGGTATGGTTCTAAACCAAAAGTTTCACACCTAAAGATCTTCGCTAGTCTTGCTTTTGCCCATATACCGGATGCTATAAGGAATAAATTGGATGATAAAGCTCTGAAATGCATTTTTTGTTGGATATAGTGAAAGGTCTAAGGGTTATAAATTATACAATCCATTGACGAAGAAATTGTGATAAGTCAGGATGTAAAGTTTGATGAAAATGTAACCCTTGAAGGTAATGAGAGCAGTTAATCAATAATTTTTCAAGAAGGAGATAATACCTCAAATGAAAACTGTGACAATTCATCAAGTTGTGGATCCCTTTCACCTCCAAGTTCTTCTAGAAGAGAAGAATCTGATGAAGAGCCACCAAGAACAAAAATGAGAAGATTGCAAGAAATCTATGAGTCTACAGAACCTGCTCATGAAGAAGGTGCTGTATTATTATTATTATTATTTTTTTTTTTTGCAGGTGAGGATCCAATTTTATATGAAGCAACAATCAAAGAAGAAAAATGGAGAAATGCCATGAAGGAAGAAATTGATGCCATTGAAAAGAACAATATGTGGGCGCTTACAAATCTGCCACCAAACAAGAAGCCTGTAGGAGTAAAGTGGGTGTTCAAAACTAAACTGAATCTAGACAATTCAGTCAACAAACACAAAGCTCGGCTTGTAGCAACGAAGTATGTGCAAAGAAAAGGAGAAGACTACAATGAGGTATTCGCCCCGGTCTCGAGACTTGACACTATTTGGCTTATAATTTCTCTAGCTGCTCAAAATAACTGGAAGCTCTTGCAAATGGATGTTAAATCTGCATTTTTAAATGTTTTTATTGAAGAAGAGATTTATGTTGAACAACCACCTGGTTTTGGGAAAGAGGGAGAAGAGCATAAAGTTTACAAGTTAAAAAAGGCCTTATACGGTTTAAAACAATCACCAAGGGCTTAGTATAGTAGAATCAATGCATTTTTTGAAACAAATGGCTTTCATAGAAGTCCACATGAACATACTCTCTACATCAAAAATGGTTCTGATGGAAGTTTCATTATTGTAAGTCTTTATGTTGATGATCTTGTCTTCACTGGAAATAATTTGGCTATGTTGGATAATTTTAGAGACTTGATGATGAAAGAGTTTAATATGATTGATTTGGGAAAATTACATCATTTTTTGGGTATTGAAGTACACCAATCTGAAAGTGGAATTTTTATTACTCAAGAGCAGTATGCTAGAGAGATTCTAAAAATGTTTAAGATGGAATTTGCAAATTCTGTTTCAACTCCATGCATCTTAGGCCAGAAACTCAGAAAGGAAGGAGAAGGAAAGCTTATTAATACCACCATGTTCAGGAGCTTAGTGGGAAATCTGATGTATCTCACAGCTACAAGACCTGATATCTTGTTTGCTGTAAGTTTAACAAGTAGGTTCATGGAAGCACCACATTCAGAACATTGGGAAGCTGCTAAAAGAATTTTACGATATGTGAAGGGGACAATTGATTATGGAATTTTTTATCAAGCAAATGTTCCAATTACACTCTTTGGATACACTAACAGTGATCTTGCCGAAAGTGTTGATGATATTAAAAGTACGTCGGGTTATGCCTTTAGCATTGGAAGTGGAGTAATTTGTTGGAGTTCGAAGAAACAACCAATTGTTGCTCTGTCAACAACGGAAGATGAATATACTGTGACATCTTTTGCTGGCTACCAAATTGTATGGTTATGAGGGATTTTGGAGAATCTAAACCACAAGTAGGATGCTCCTACAACTCTTTTGTGTGATAATAATTCAGCAATTTCTGTTACAAAAGAACTAGTTCTACATGGGAGGACTAAACACATTCGTATGAGGTATCACTTCTTGAGAGAGCTTGTTCAAGATGGATTAATTCAAGTCAAATACTGCAAAATAGAAGATCAAGTAGCAAATGTATTTACAAAACCAATTGGAGGTCAGAACTTCAAGAAACAACTTGCGAGACTTGGAATGAAAAGAAAATTTGGTTTACGGGAGGCAATGTTTGAAAATAAACCAAATTAATGATCACTGATGAATTCAAAATCATTTACTGAACTTTATTTTTTTGTCAAGTGTCTACTAGTATTCTAACAATTGATTGAGTAATTTAAGGAGTCTTCTTAGATATGTAATAGTCACATTTATTCCGATGCAATCCCCTGAGTCCTCTAGTATGTATAAATTGGAATGTAATCTGCAGTAACTTTGAAGGCAATAAGATTGAGTATTTCTGGTAATATAATTACCATTTTTTCTTGCCTTCAATCCCTCACTATAATGAAGTATTAAATGTGGGAGTTTTGTCAATGCTTTCTCTTTTATTTCTCGGGAACTAGATTATGTATGCTTATTTTAATCAATATTTGAAAAAATTACGGAAGAGCTTATCCCTACTCAAATAGGGAAAATGACTCACGCCACCTCATGCAAGCTACTGTCTTGCATAAAAAAATAAAAGTTTGGATATAATGTCCATGTTTCGCTGGTAGATGGCTTGGATAAAAAGATTGATTCTTTGGAAAAGAAGTACGAGACTCTCCATAAGAAACTAGGGAAGATCATTATGGAGTGAGCTAAATATAAAGAAATTAGTAAAGGTGTTGAAGCGTTTACTATGAGAGAAGCTTTCTTGGTGGTTAATACCAAGAGGATCTCTATAGATCTATAATTGACCAAGGAAAACCATGCAAACTATGTTGCTAGGATTGAACGTGACAATTTCATGCCTTAGAGAGGAGTTCTAATTGACTATGTCTAAGCATTTTGCTACTTCTAAGGAAATTGATAATGTAAAGAATGACATAACCTCGCTCCATAATCAATTGGAGAATATTGAGACAAAATCAGCCATTATAGGGTCCAGCCTCTTGAAATGATTGTTCACGAGGCAAGACTAGTTGGGATGCTATGGAAAAAGGGGTAGTAAAATTCTTGATATAATTAGAAGCTTTCATTGGAATATGAACTTTTTGGAGGCTTATGAAAATGATGTCGAGGACACCCTAGCTTCAGAGGTCATCTTCGTCCTTTCCTATTGATCCTTCTCAACCTACAGATTTTCATGCTAGTGGGGTTGTGGTTATTATTAGGCCAATTGATACTTCTACTCTCACTCCTCTTCCTTATTTTTAAGTAATTGTGTATTATTAGGCCAATTGATACTTCGACTCTCACTCCTCTTCCTTATTTTTAAGTAATTGTGTTCTCGAGGAATGACATTCGAGTTAACCACGACGATCCGACTTTTAAGAATCTTCAGTTCTGGGTTAATTTGGAAAGATAGTTTGTATTTGTATTATCTTTTGGTAGTAGTGAAATTTCCTTGCTTTTTGTATAAAATTGCTCGTTTGGCAATCTATTAATGAGATATTATCGCTCTTTTGTATAAATTGATTTTTTGGCAATCTATTTAGGCTCACAATGCTTTACTCATTTGATATTTAGTTATGCTTTGCATAGATGCATTTAAGACTACTGCATATCAACAATACGATTACAAAATTTCGTTAATCACTCTTTACAATAAAGGAAGGAGGATTATTATCTTGCTCTAGCTATGGCTTTTTATTACATCAATACTACACACACGATTACAACATGTTGTGATATCAACTTTGAATGTGGGCAGGTGTGATCTCATCCTTGATGGTAGGGTTTTTCAAGGTCAAAATTAGTCCTTGCATTTATTTGGCAGAATGAGCCTCACTTTTAGTCAAAATTTCATTTAGTGTTACTTACGCCTTTGATTTCAACCTTGCAATGGGTGAAAAGAGGGTCGCCTTCCGTTTAAAAATGCCTGGAGAAGACTCGCGTTGTTAACAATTCTCAATCATGCGACCTTGCTTAAGGTGCAACATTGTTTTGATTGTTTCGTCATTTATGCTTCCCCTAGTACTTGCAAAGTTATCTTTATTGGCAAGTAGGTTTTTCGACTTACCCTTTATAGCGTCAAATACTTGCTTTCCTAAACAAAGCTCTTTAAGCATGTATTTCTTTCTTTCAATAATTTTGTTTTCTTCCCTTCTTTATTACCAGGATAATTTGTTCCTTTAGAACCAAATGCTCTCCTGTAAAATTATATAAGAGTTCAGCTATGGGTACCTTAGGACAATGAAAAAATATTTTCCAACGGAAAATTTACGAAAATTACCTTCAAAAGATGGTTAAGGCTATACCAAACTCTTAAGGCTCGTGTCCCTGACATATCACGGTGGGGATATATGATTCCCTTTATCATTACTATACATAATTTTAAAAAATTCAGGTTTTAGGACTTCAGATCTAGGAGTTTTCAAATGCGGGCCCTCTAGATATTTGGGAGTATGTTTTGTGCACGTTTTTCATGCCTTCTTCTACATAAGGGGACTTTACCATAATATTGATTTCTCTAGCTGAAGGTTGGGTGCTCACAACGTTGATAAACACTAGCGATGTCTCTGCATGCCTTCATTTCACTCACTTTATTCCATCCCCATGCTGGACATGTGGGCCTTTGATTCTTAGGTGCCATAGACACGTTCTCCTACTTATTTCGTAGCCTTTGACTCTCAGGTGCCCTAGACACAATCTACTACTTATTTCATAGCCTTTCCGCTTTCGTTTAAAAATGTCTGAAGAAGACTCGCCTTGTTAACAATTCTCAATCATGCAACCTTGCTTGAGGTGCAACATTGTTTAAAATTGTTTCGTCATTTAAGCTTCCCCTAGTACTTGCAAAGTTATCTTTATTGGCAAGTAGGTTTTACAATTTACCCTTCATAGTGTCAAATACTTGCTTTCCTAAACAAAGCTCTTTCAGCGTGTATTTCTTTCTTCCAATAATTTTGTTTTCTTTCCCTTCTTTATTACCAGGATAATTTGTTCCTTTGGAATCAAATGCTCTCCAGTAAAATCATACAAGAGTTCGGCTATGGGTACCTTAGGACAATGAAAAAATATTTTCCAATGGAAAATTTACGAAAATTACCTTCAAAACATGGTTAAGTCTAGTGGTGGATCTAGAATTTAAGTTCAGTTAGGGCAACTATTGACTGTTGATCATTGATCGTCGGCAGTCAACGATCGTAATAGCGATGTCGTTTACTAATATTTAATTCAAAAGAATTAAAAATTGTTATGTAAATGAACTAAAATTTAAAAATCATATTCAGCTAGGGCAACTGTTGACTGTTGCTCATTGATCGTCGACAGTCAACGAACATAATAGCGATG